AGTTTTCAGGGAAGAGGAGCAAATGCAACCTTTGCAGGTTTCATGTTTGTTTGGGTTTTGTGCAAGGGGAAACGCTAGCCCCTATGACTCTCCTCAGAGAAGAGGAATTATGAATTCTGTGACTTATTTCAGGGGAACAGAAAAAGTTCTGCGTGGAACTTTGCTTCTAAAACTGTTTCTGGGGCTTTCAAGTGTCCTTTGGGCCAAAGACCCGAGCACATCAAAGCACCACGCTTTTTGTGTAGGGTCTTCTGAGCCCAAAGCCGCATCTTGCCATCCTAGGTTTCACATCTGTGTGTTATGTATCTGTTCTCCCCTTCCCTGCAATTCTAATGCCAAGGAAACAAGGAGGAAAGCATCTTACTTTCCCCTAGCTTCCTAAATATTTAGAAGATCATCAATTTAGTACCTTGAGTTTGGTGGGACATGTAATCACAGAACAACCTTGTGGACATTTATAGGACGTTTTTCTTTTAATAGATAGTTCCATTCTTAATTTTTAGAAAGCAATTTATCTTCACTACAGTCAAAAAATCCCCAATAACCTTGATATTTTTAACCTGTATAGAGCAAGTTGATGGGTAAATCTTATTACCAGCATGCTCTGCTCTTGCCAGTCTTTATTAAACAGCATAATTTGAAATTGCTTGTGCTAGAGGACATTCACAAGCACACCAACCATACAGACAGAGTGGGAGATGGCCCTGACACGGAAGGATGGTATACACCACTGTGGCTCTTCCATCTATACACAGTAGTCTCTTCATCATTTCTTTGAGAGTCACAGAAGAAAACGTGTGTTTCTTGATAGACAATAGGTCCCAACATGTGCCCTCTCTATTCTGACTCCACGAAACTTAGGAATTGAGAGCAGGTGCTTCCCACTTTGTGTTTGATTCTGTTGAAAACTCAAAGCCAAAAATGTAGCTGGGTGGTAGAGTATCTGCTTAGCATATATGGTGTCTTGGACCCAGTCTTCAGGAACACCAAGGTGAAAAAACCAAGAAACAAACAAACCAAAGGCAAAAAAAGGTGAACTCCAAAACACAAGAGGGTTGTCTCAGTCACTTTGTGTCTCTTCCTTGCTGTGACAGAATACCTAAGAAGATGATGAAGATAAAGAGAAGATGTTTTACCTCAGAATTTCATGGGTTTCAAACCATAGTTGGCTTGCTCCATTGCTCTGGATGTGTCACAAGTAGAACATCACAGGAGCAGGGCCATGTGGTAGAGAAAGTTGCTCCGTTCATGGCAACCACGAAGTGACAAGAGAAAGAGGCCAAGACCCTGAGTGCTGGGATTAAAGGCATGTGCCTCCATGATCAGCTTGGACATGAAACTTGTTCCTCAGCTGGCGATTGATGTCTTTGTAAATCTTGGTGACTTTGGAGGGCAGGGTACATGTATGTAGTGTGTCTTTGCATTTGCCCATAGGAACACATATAGAAGCCAGGGACTGACCTGGACTTTGAATTTCAGCCAGACTGCCTGCCAGGAATCCTGCCCCCTGAACCTTCCCCTCCCCTACCCCACTCCACCACCACTGGAGATGTGCTCACCACACCCAGCTGTTTTACCTAAGTGTCAACGATCCAAACTCCAGTCTGTGCGCTTGCTCAGCAAGCAATATAATCACTGAGCCATCTTTCCAGCTCCAAATCCTAGTGGCTCTTTATCTTGGTGTCTTTGGCCTTAAAGGGGAAGGGCTTCCAGCCTCCGATGAATGCATCTTAAAAAATTAATGTACTTATGTGCAGACTGGTCAGGAAATGACCCAAAGGTTTAAGGTAGTAATAGTGTCAGACATGCTAAGGAAAGCAGACAAGCTAATCTTTACCTCACTTTGAGTTAACCTCTGAGTGTCTGGCAAAGTAGCCTCTCAGTTGCTGCCATACCTTTGACATGTGATTTCTCAAGACTTCCAGGAGGGAAGGCTTCCAAGGTCTCATCTCCATGACTTCTCAGTTTCTAGCTCAGCTGTCTCTCAGGTGGTTAGTCCCAGAAATTTAGAAAGCCCACCTCCTACATGATTTTATCCTCCAGGAAGCCACTTTTGCCCTCTGGACTGAGCTCATATAGCTGCCAGGACTGCAGCCTGTCCTTCTAATTCCCTAACCACTAGCTGTCTTGTTGGTCATGGTCCCAGGTACCTTAGGATCAGCTTGCTTCTCATTTCCTGCATGGACTTTGCTTTTACTTTTTTTTGGAAAGGCAGCTTGCAGTGTCCTTTTAAAGGCCATAGAAAGAGCCTTTTCTCATGAAGAAAGGAATAGTCTTCAAATATTGGTCAAAGGTACTGCTCAACAGTAGCGTACCTGCCTGCCCGATATGCATAAGATTCTGGGTTCAATCTCCAAGACCACAAGCAAAGTTCTCCAATTTTTATTTAGATATAGACAAAAGTAAAACTAAACAGTCAAAATGTAAAGATTTTTTCTAATTTATCTTACATGCTCATGCTTAAAGGCATATGTGATTTGCTAAAAATTGTTTTAAGTGAAATATAGTTTTGAAATCTTTCTTTTAGCCAGATGTGGTGGTACACGGAACATGCCTCTAATCTTCGTAGTCAGGGAGATGATGGGGTAAGAGGAAAGTCCTGCCAACCTGGTGTCCCTAGAGAGACCCTGATACAGCAAAACAACACAGGAGGAGAAGACAGAGGAAGAAAGATAGACTTCAAGTCTAGCTGAAGTTTAGAATAATCTGCAGCAATTGTTTGAAAACATTATTTTCTATTTAATTATCCACTCACTCATTGGAAATTTAAATTTTAAAATTAAGTGATTGAACTCAACACAGTATTCTAAAATAACAATTAAACGTAATTGAAAATTTTTCTGACCTTTAGAAAGGAAAATAACCAACATTTCATGGTACTGGGGAAAAGGCTCAACACTTAAGAGCATTGGCTGTTCTCTTACAGGACCCAAGGTCAATTCCCACCATTAACATGGTGACTTACAAGCATTTGTAACCTTAGTTCCAGGGAATCACATGTCTTCTGGCCTTTGTGAACACCATAAGACCCACAGCCATATTTATAGGCAAAACACTCATTCAGATATATATATATATATATATATATATATATATACCATAAGAAAGATAAAGATAACCAACATCTTAATTTAAGTAAAAATAAAGATAACCAACATCTCTTTCTCTGGGGTTCAGATTTCTTATTTTAAATGTAAGGTCCTACAGACTTGTGGTATTTACTCCTGAGAACAAAATAATGTCAGTGCTTTCTTTTTTTTCCAGTACACAATAGCTACTGGTCAGGACTGGCAGCTTTACCGGGTTAGTTCCTCAACTTGTCTACCTTACAGCATGTATCATTACGATTCCTTTGTAATTTTCCCATTTCCTAGTTAGATTTCTCAAGTTGTTTCCATGCTTTAAAAAAGTCTATTGTTTGAATGTTCTATTTACCCATTGTTTGTGGAAATACTTCTAGATAAGTTGCACAGGAAAGGAATTGGGGGAAATTATTTTTCAGTACCATTTTATCTAAAAACCCAGATCTTCATTTGACACAGAAACTGAGTAGATTTTGAACTCAAAGCTAACCCAGGCTACATAGGAAAAAGCAAAAGGACAAAATAAAAATCTGTGAGTGTGCATGTACAGGCGTGTTAAGTGATCAGATGCCGTTAATGAAGGCAACTTTATTCTATATGTGGGGGCAAAACTGGGATACAAAATAAACGCAAGTATGCTCTTAATGTGCTAATGTAAAAACCAATGTAACAGATATTTGTTATAAAAACAAATACTGGACCGCAACGGTGCTGCGCCTCTGAGGCACACTGGGGTGTTCAGTAGAAGATCTTGCTAAGAGAAGTAAAGAAAGTTCAACGTCATCATCGTCATCAGAAAAGATGAATCCCAAGTTAATGTGAATCCTTGAAATGCATTTCCCTGCTGCAGTTGTCTCTATTGCACGACAGAAGCACACATGCTAAGAGTAGGACAAAGTCATGCAGAGAACTTTCGAGCACACACAGGAAGACCGCTTTCCTTCAACAGAGTTAATTCCCACGCTCTTCTCCCACTGCCTGACCAGTGCAGGGCTCATTAGGACAGCAATTTTCTCTATGCAACATCAGGGTATGATGTATTCTTTCTTGACACAAGTGATAATGATTCCCCAGGCATGGGATTTGTAATTTTTTGCTAACCTAAATTCGTGTGTGTGTGTGTGTGATGTACATGTTCATGCGGGTGTGTGCACATTTATGTATGAGTGAACACACATAACTCCAATGCATGTGGAGGCTAGAGGCAGGTGAGCATTTCTTTATTGATCTCTATCTTCTCTAAACTTGGCACTTACTGACTGGCTAGACCGACTGCCCAGAGAGCTCCAGAGATTCACCTGTCTCCACTCTCCGGCTCTACGGTTACATATTTGGGAAGTTACAGCAGCATTTACAGGTGTCCTAGGACTCTGTACTCAGATCCCCAAGCTTACCTGGCAACAACTTTACATACTGAGCCATTCCCTTACTCTATGTATAGCATATTCAAATGCATACAAAGGGAGAAGACAACGGAGTAGTAGGCAGCAGGCTGCACCGCTTGGTCTGTATAAGCAGACCAAAAGGCACAACCAAACACAGGTCTTGAGAGTGAAAAAAAAGCACTGCTCTCTCATGTCACACGCTGGCCAGCTATTTCAACAAGCTTGGAAATACTTTGGCTTTTGCTAGTTGCCTATCTGTGCAGATATAACCTGAACCAAAGCTATGCTAGGAAGTTTCTATTTCATATGCTAACCCTATGTCACATGAGCCTAAAGCCTGGGACAAGGAACTCTATCCCACAGTGTTTGCATGAGCCATGCAAATGCCCAGGCTCTATGTCTTCCACCCATTTCTCATAACACTCATGCCATGTGTGCATGATTTCAGCTGCTCAGGTTTCTGACAGGCTGTAAGAAGGGAAGACAGGAATCGCACGTCTTTGTTGTTAACGGGTGGCTTTCCATTTTTCAGCGCCGACTGGGAGATGCAGCAAAGAAAGCCATCAGCAAGCTCCAGGTCAGGACCATCAGGAAGGGTGACAAGGTGAGAGCCTCTTTCTTTGGGTGAGGACATATTGAGGGAACTCTATGCAAAGTAGAAGACAGAGAGGAAAGAGAAGGGGGGATAGATGCAAATCTCTGTTGTCTATACACATCAAGCACTTAAACCCCTTTTGTTAAATGTAGTGTTTAGAAAATACACACAGTTTCTTGACAACAAAATATGAGAAATTATGATGTTAAGTGTTCAACAATAGCCAAATTTTACAGTCAGCACCAGCGTCCATCAGCAACTGAATGGATTAAGACAATGTGATATGTATACACAGTGGAGTGTTATTGAAACATTAAGAATTACAGAAATACATCATTTGCAGGATAATAGATGAAGCTATTATATCTATCATGAGAAGCAAGGTGCAGAAAGACGACTATATTTTCTCTCATATTTGGAATCTAGACTTTGCAAAAGGACTTAGAATTAGAAGGAGCCCCTACTTGAGAAAAAGAAGAGGACCTGTGGAAAAGGTGGGAGGGAGGGCGGGCAGTTTGTGGGAAGTGAATAAAACTGATGTGTGTGTGATATGCATTCGTGAAAATGTTGTAGTGAAACCCAGTATCATATGCAATAGATACATGCTTCCAAAGGTGTGTGAGAAGCCGGCTGTGGTAGCTCACACTTTTAATCCCAACACTCGGGAAGCAGGCAGGTAGATTTCTGGGGGTTCCAAACAGCCTGGTCCACATAGTAAGTTCCAGACTAGCCAGGATTGTATAGACTCTTTCTTAGATAAAAAATAAACCAAATGCGGCTGAAGTGAGCACACAAAAATGTCCCTTGAAACACGTGACAAAAATGGGTCTTAAATTTTGGTTGAAGCTTCCTAGAAGTCAATACAAAATGAAAAACAGAAAACCAAAGTTTAATATTTCAATCAGTATTTGCTTACCCTATTTCAAGTGATTACACTTAATATGACCCATGAAAGTTTTCTGAAAAGTCTTTGGAAAGAGGGTGGGTTTCCATGCTGAACTCTGCTCACCACACAAGTTTAATGTATGAACGCATAAATGGTATTTAGGCTCTTCTGAACTCTAAGACTTAGAACTCCAAAGTCACTGCACAGCCTCTGTCACTGTAGAATAATAGCATGAAGCTGAAGGCCATCACACACCTCCAGGAAGGGTGAAAAGGCCAACGGCCCAAGTCTGTGGCTTCTAAGGACAACTGAGCAATGGATACCATTGCAGCACGTAGGCTCAGGACTCCCTGGTGATTAGGAATGGACTCACATGCACACTAGGTATTATCTCTACTCTGAATAACTGACTTAGGTGCTATCATTTTAAACAATATGAGAATAATGTTGAGATTAATAAGAGAAACTTCATTTAAAAGGATAACCAGAACCTTGGGGCAATGAATCTGTTGGGAAAATGCTTGTCCTGGCTGAGTTTGATCCCCAACACTCAGATCAAAGTGAGATATGATGACACTTGCTTGTTAAGGTAGAGTCGGAAGGAGGCTGGCTGACCAATCAGTCTAGCCAAGCAGGGGAGCTCCAGGTTCAGTGAGAGACTCATCTCAAAAATAAATAAATAAATAAATAAATAAATAAATAAATAAATAAATAAAAGGTTTGTGAGCAACACTGAGGCACACTCAGCCCTCACATGAACACCTACACAAACCAAATTTAGAAATGGCTTATATTTTCATCGGTGTCTTTCTCCACCCAATTAGAGAGCAAAATGTACCAGCATGATGACATATGTAAGTCATGAGGTGCCACTTTTAGGTTTGCATACAGAAAAAAAAGCAATCGAAACTCTATTTTTATTTACATGTAGTATACACTTCAGATGCCAGAGGACTAAGTAGATTATAAATCATTCAGATGAATGTCACTCCTCAGAATGAGGAAAGAGATTTACAGCATTTTAGGAACAGTGCATGTGAATGACATTCTCCTCACAAAAGCCCTCCGTGTGGAAACAAGTGACGGTCTGAAGGGATGAAAACTAAGGCAGTCTGAATTATTGATGGAGAAGACCAGTGTTAATGCCGCTGAGAGGCTGGCCCCGGGCAAGTTTTCCTTGGTTTATGACAATGTTTACTCAAGCCCCAGGCTAGCTCTCCTTGGATTATGATGATGTTTGCTCAGTTTGGAAGCTAAAGTTGGCCCTTCTGGTTCTTCTGTTACAGGAAACAGAGTCCGATTTTGATAACTGTGCAGTCTGCATAGAAGGGTACAAGCCCAACGATGTGGTCAGGATCTTGCCCTGCCGGTGAGTAGTGCAGTTGCCTGCTCTGAGCAGAGGGGACAGAGGCCTCTGTGTTGGCATTGCAAAATACTCTTCCCCAGTAACTTTGTTCCTGAAAAACATACTACCACACGAAAATAGGACCCTTTCTTATACCCCTTGCATGAAAGGCAGACTTGACAAGATAGTGGGAGTCCATGCTGTGTGTGTGGAGGCAGCTCCTGGGATATCTCTCTCAGTGATGCTCAGAATCACTTCTGGCCTTTAATGATGCTATTTCAACTAAAATACCAAAGTCTAAAGAAGATGCTGAGAATGACCAGGACACACTCAGCGATCTGAATATGGCCAGCAGGGAACAGGGAACCAGAGGGAGATTCCATTTACATTATGTTTTACCAATGGAAAGAAAATGGGCCAAATTCCCACAGAATTCTAGAACCTGAAGGAACATTCTAGCATGTAGACTTGGGGAAATGCCCCCCGCCCCATAAAGGAGGCTCCAATTGCTTTAACATTTCTCCCCAAATCTAAGTTGCTGCTACAGTGCCTGGCGTTTTCTTTGAACATCCTAATTAAATCAAGTAAGTTAAGAGTTGTGTAAGAGTCACAGCTTTCATAGAAAATTCTTTTTTAGTTGTACCTGCGCAAGTGTCCTAAAAATAAAAATGTAATTGACTCAATGAAAGTTACTGCATGTAGAGAAGATGCCTTGCAAAATTCTTGAGTTTAAAAGTATACTAGGCAGAAAAGAGTCTAATACAAAAACATGCACCATCTACTGCTTTCCACCAAGCAATACACATTTTAAGACTGTTTATTAGAAATACAAATGGAATAAAATAGCATCCAGAGAATTGGTTTAATAATCTCAAGAGGAAGAAGAAGTGAACAAGATAATGAATAAAAGGACTGGATACTCAGATGGAACTCAGCATCTCTCAAGAGATCCTTCTTGAAATCCTCACAGCAATGGGCTTCTAGGAAAGTGGGAGTGGGGAGACTCTCCACGCAGAGCCTACAAGCATGGGTGAATTGCCTCAGTTTACAGACATGACCTTAAACCACAAATGGGATCACATTGACACTTAGCAATTTCCTGTGCGTGAGCACACTCACTCTGAGTGTATTCTTAAAGCTTTATTTATTTATTTATTTGTTTATACACTTTGTTTGTTTGTTTGTTTGTTTGAGGGATGGCACAGAAGCCACAGCAGAAGTGTGGAGGTCAGTGGATAGTTTCTGGGTGTCAGCTCTTTCCTTCTGCCATGTGGGTCCTGGGAATGGAATCCAGGTCATCAGACTTGATGGCAAGCACCTTTACCCGTTGAGCTGTCTGTCTCCTGATCCACAATTACATCCTTTCTCGACAGTGCACAGGCAATGATTTCCAGAATGGTTTTCAAGGTGCCCCAGTGTGAGGACGACAGGGACCTCTGCTCATATCTTACCTTAGGCTTGGAGTCTCAGTGTGAGAAGCGGGTCAGATGGTTCCCTTACGCCTCTTCCTGCAGATCCCAAGCTTCATGACGTCCTACTAATGGATGCCCATGACTAAAAAAACTAAACGTCTGCTTTTTCTGACACACGAGACCTGTTTTCAAGAATTATATGTAGCATCTCATTTTCTCTCCCACTCATACTATATAAAGTAACTTGTTCATCTAAAGCCTTATCATAACTAAATGTTGTGTATCTACATGGAACTGATGGAGACTTGAAACTGCCTAATCATGGTGTGGTTTTCCATAGGCTGTTTCAGTGTCTACTTATGACAAGTTACATTTCTTTAACAAGATTCAATTTTTTTCTTATTAATGCAGATCTCCTTCATAGTATTTTTTTAATTAATCAAAAAAGTTGATGTTTTTACTGTTTACCATTAAAAAAAACTTTTGGAAGCTCAACTTTATTGATATTATCAGCCTTACTTACTCTAGGCTGCTCAGATTGGCTTCAGGTTTCTATATGATTGTTTTGCTTCTAAGCCCATTCAGTGAACTTTCCGGTATAATACTTTTGTTCATTCTTTGAGAATTTCATATCTACACACAGTGTGCTTCGATCATATTCTCTTCCCCTCACTCCTCCAGGATCCATCATGCTCCCCACCCCTCCCCCCACTCCTTGTCTTCCTTTTCTTTTGTCTTTTGCTTCATGACTCACCAAGTTCAACTTCTACTGTGCATACATTCATGAGTGTGGACCATCCACTGAAACATTGTTGGCCTACTAAGGACTAAACCCTTGAAGAAAACTGACTCTCCTTTCCCCAGGAGCCATTGTTTGTCCATAGCTCCAGAGTTAGAGGTGGATGCTTCTGAGTCCCTCCCACTGTGTGGAGGGCTGACTGGCTTGATCCCACTGGGCAATCATGGCTGGCATTCATGAGTGTAGTAGCCCTGTCATGTCCAGAAACACATCTTCCCAGGCTTCGCTCCTGCCTTTCCTGACCACTGTCACAATCTTCCCACCTCCTTTTCCATGATGGTCTGTCTATGAACCTTAGGGAGAGGGGCGGGGTCACACCTTGATTCTTTCTTCTTCACTTGCCTCATTCTCTGCCGTTATTTTCCTGTTGTAGACCCTGCTTTAAATGACAGAACACACCAAACATTACCCATCATGAGTTATGCTCCATCTTACACTTGTCACACATAAGCACTCTCTGGATAGCGCATGTGTGTTTTTCCATGCTGGTTTTAATCGAGGCACTTTTACGGCTGTTGCTGGCTTCTCGTAGGTAGTGTGAGCTAATGGATGCTATCAATCCGGTGTAGTAACGTTTGCTTCTTTGCTCCATCATTCCCTCCGTAATGTTATTGAACCTTTGCTCCTATGGCTGTCATAGACTTCCTCTCCTAGTATTTCCAAGCTTATTCATCCATGGAACTATTTGTATGTCCTTGGAGTAAAAGCTCCTTCAAATATTATTCCAGTGCAAAATGTCTCTTCTTGAATATTACATTCTGTGGCCTCATAATCCCTGAATACTGTATATATCACCACTGTTTGAGTTCCTTGCCAATTATTCATGTGTGCACTTACATCATGATAGGTTCAAAAGTGTGCTATTGTCTTCTCTCTCTGAGAATTCTACATAAATTACGGTAAATGAGTAAAGCATCCTTTTTCATCTGTCATCGTGATAATTATTAAAGTGAAGTCATACACATCCATGCCAGCCTTTTCTTTCCTCTCTCCCTGTCTTCATCCAGTTCTTCCCAGACGCATGAACACAGGGCTCCATTGATGTGAGCCTGGGCCTGTGAACACAATGTGAGGGGCAGACACGCAGTGGCTTGCTCAGCCATTGGCTACAGGCACTTCTAACTTTTGTGACTTGGATGTGATCCCAATTCACCACTAAGACATTTTCCAGGAAACACGGGTTTTGCATTGTCATACATATATCAAGATGTACACAATGCTGCGTTTTGGGGTGGGTTTGTGACTTGGACTAGAACTTGTGGTTATGATTCTTAGCCACAGAACATATCTTCCTGAAGCACTGTATTGATCTTTACTGTCTTCTCCAGTCCAGAGAAGGAATAATGCTCTCTGCTTCTGTTAACCCATAGCTGCCCTACTCTTTTTCCCAGTGGTTATTTCTTTCAGCCCACTCAGCTGCCTGAGTTCAAAGACACAAAATCTCAAGCAGAATGTGTCTTCCTTAGGTAGATCAGAAGTTCACATTTTGCATATGCTTTTCTTGACAGTGACCCTGTAAAATTCTTTCCTATTTTATCACCATTTGGTGGGGCCATTATTGTGTTTTCCTGTAATCTGGCAGTCTCCTCCACAGCTGAGGACAACTTCAAAGCATCCTGGTAATAGGCCGGCCGTGTGATGAACAAGTAGTAAAGGAGTAACTCCTCTGGAATGACAAACACCGTATAGTAGGGACAGTAGGAGGTACCACATATGGGATGGGAAGTGGGGTGATCTTGTTGGAAACAGGAAATCCAGTGGATAAACAGGAAACAGCATGATAGGGTGTCCATAATGACAAATTTCTGCAAACACAATAAGGCTAATACCACACACCATGGATTTAAGAAAGGTTTTGTAATAAATAATAATAGTAATAATAATAACAATAACAATGATAATAATAACTGGACGAGGAGAAGGAGAAACATCCCTTTAGTTTATTTTTCTCTTATTAAGATTTATTTTTAATGAAAAAGGAAAAATATTTATTTACTTTTATTTTACATACACACACACATATCTTGCCTGCATGTATGTTTGTGCGCCTCAATTATGCAGTTCCCATAGAAGCCAGAAGAGGGTATCAGATTCCCCCAGAACTGGAGTCATAGACAGTTGTTAACCCCATGTGGATGCTGGGAACTGAACTTGAGTCCTCTGCAAGAGCAGCGGTGCCTTTAACCACTGAACCATCTCTCTAGCTCCCGTATCTCTTCATATTTTTAATCCAAGCTAGATTCATCTCAAATACCCACATTATGGAAATGTTTTATAGGGTAAAATATTTAAGTATCTGCATAGCTCCCGCATGCAGGTAAGAGCCACTGTCCTTTTCTCATGTTTCTTCCCTTTGTCTTCTCGCCCTCATTTTTGCAAGTTGGGAATACTCTTGTCAATATCTTCAATGCCTTTTTCTTTTTCCCTATCATTGTAAGAATTTTCCAGAAAGAGTACTAAGTTATTTGTGACTCATTTTGACCTTCCTTTGGCCTCTGAAGCAATAACCAGAAGTTAATCGAGCTCTTGCTTGCATAAATCACCCAAAAGGCCTTGAGATGCCAAGGGTTTTGTAGAAAGAGCTTTTACCTCAAAAGCCTTGTCATGGCCCGAGTGGAATTTTCCACTGAGGTGAACCATGAATGCACTCCATTCTCTTGAACTTATTTCTTAGTAATCCACTAAGGAGGTGTTCACATTCACATTCCACCCCCCACGGAAGATGCAGAAAAACAGTTTCTCACACATGGATGTACTTGTTTCTTTCTGTAGAAACAATGTGACCCACTGGCTTAGAATCACCAGAGTCTAAT